AGGTGATAACTGGAGGCGATGAGACCTTGAAGGTAAACTTGTTTTCAAGATGGATTTATAGTAGCTTATTTGTATCCTGTGAGGCTGGTCTAATAGAAGGGGAAACTGATGGGGGTGGGTATGTGTGGCTGCTGAGCAATATCCTTTGAATAGGTAAGAGGGGATGGAATCCCGGGCCTGGTGAAGGGTCTAGTCTCTGGGAGCAGTGCAGACAGTTCATCTGGAGTAAGAAGAGGAAGACTGTGTACCTGGACACAGGTGAGAGTAGACAGGTAGATGCGGTAGGTGGGAACGTGTGGAGCTGAGACTCTCAATTGCTTTTATTTTCTTAATGCAACAAGAAGCAGGGTCATCAGCTGAGAGTGAGAAGGGGGTTGGTGCTGGAGGTTTGAGGACTTAGGGAAAGGTGCTAGGAAGTTTTTTCCAGACAGTGGAGAATAAATGGACAAGGAAAATGTAGTAGATTGTTGGTCTTAAGGTGAGACCACTCAGCTTGGTTGTGGGTGTTTCTCTAGCCAAGTTGAAGCAAACAGGGCAAATACAGAGCAGATTTAGGTTTTACCCAAAAGTGGGGTTTTCTCTGATGAGTAAGGCAGGCGGGGCAAGGGCATGGACAGTGTGTGCCGGGATGTGGTTATCACAGCAGCACGTGGTATCTATGCTGGAGCCAAGGCTTTGTCAGTGATGCACAGTGAAAGCTCTTCTCTGACACAACTGGGACCAGTAGTTGTTCAGTTACTCCTGAAGTTAAATAGATGTGACAGGGGCTGTTGATGGTCCTCAGTGTCCACTCAGTCCTTCTTCCATGATAATAAACCCTGACTTTTAGGAGGGTACATGCTCGCTTTAGATAGACCACATTTCTCAGCCTCCTTCAAGGCCAGGGGTGACTCTGTCACTACTTTCTGGACAATGCTATGTAATCGTAAACATTATGGGACAGCTCCCAGGAAACTTCCTGCAAGGAGATTCGACACCCCGTCATTTGGCAAAAGGGTGTGGGTGGTGGGACACGAATCTTTCACTCATCTGGCTGCCTGGGGTGGGGCTTAATGACTACAGCTCTGGTCTTCCACTGAGAAGATGAAGATGAGGGCCACGGCCTGGACGCCACGGGAAGGTAAGCTGGAAGAAACTGGAGATCCTTGGGGCTTGGCGGAGCAGAGCTGCCATTCCAGTGCCCAATGTGCATCTTTACATCTTTACGAGAGAAATAAATGTCTCTTTACTTAAGCCACTGTCATTTTGGGGCTCTATTTCTCAGACCTGAACCTCGTCTTAACTGGTATTTTAGAGAAAATTTTTTTAATGAAAAAAAAAATATCTATTTCAAATATTTTAACTGATCACTTACAAATGGACATTCGTCCACTCAATATTTGGTATGGGGACAAGTCCTGTTCTTGGAGTATGGGGTCCACTGAGTAGTGCTCCATGGAAACTACACACATCCATAATGCACTACTACAGGATCATCAGTTTAGGTTTCTCCAAAATCAGAATGAGAAGTTGAAGCATCAAAGAATTTGTGAAGCAATGTGAATGCAGTTACCCTGGATTTTTATGATTTCCCCCCATCCTTACATTTATCTTACCTAAACTTAATTCCACAGTATTTTTCGGTGAGTCGCCTTTATTAAGTCTTTCCAAAGCATTTACCTGAGTTTCCATAGAAATAAGAACTTTCTTTTAGCATTTATCTTTTGTCCATTTATATAATGTTTGTACAATTACGTTTATCCTATTTTCACCAGATATACTTTCTTTTAGCCCTCATATTTTATGTTTATACAACATTTAATTGAATTAGGTAATTACAATCGTGAACACAACTGGCAAAAACAACACCGGAAAAAACACAACTGCCTTTGGAAGGAGATAAGCCGACTTTGGGAGTGATGCGGTCTTTGCACATCAGCCCTGTTTGTCAGAAGGAAAATGTCAGTTATCTATTCAAAGGGTCCGTAAATACAGGTCAGGCGTCCTACCCAGCATCTTTTTACCTTTATACAGTTTAAAAACAATCTTGATTATATATTTAATTTTGCAAGTGCATGAGCAACTCTTACACACTGTTGATGGGCATGTGAATACAGCCTGGACGGCAGTATCCATCCAAAACATTAAAAAATGTTAGGATTTTACTCAGCAAAGCCATTTTTAATAAAGAATCCCACAGAAATACTTGATGATATCGGAAACAATTTAATAAGAAGATTGTTTATCACATCATTTTTTTTTTAATAGGGAAAAACTGGAAAACCCAAAATGTCCTGAAATTAGGGATTTTGGGGGGGAAGTTTGATCGTCCAAAAATGGATTCTAATGTAGCTGTTATTATGTTGTACCATGCAAGAGACATTTCCAAAAGAAGTCCTATGATTATCTTGCCCTGAGGAAAGGTTTGAGGTTGAGTGACCAATTCATTTGGACCACATGGGTAGGTCTGGGAAGACTAAAGGACGTTGTCTTTAATTCTTGCAGCTAGCTCAGAAATAGCTTAAGTACAATATGCTCACTAACACGGAGGAACTATATATATATTTGAGTGAAATAAGCACACGATAAAACAGCATATCATTTTATATATTATACAATTTTAGAGTCTGAAGAAATGTGCACTAAAATATTAAAATTTGTCTATACAGAGTAAAAGGTAATTGAACATTTATATAATTCTATCTAGATACACTTTATATTACTGTTATAGACAGTAATTTCTGAACAC